GTGTATGTGAGCGTTCGAGTATAGTTTTTGTTTTACTTATTTAGCTTTGATGTTTTCTTCTTTTTTTTTTTTTTTTTGTTGTTGTTGCTGTTTTTTAATAACACTTCCTTATTCGTCTGTTTGTCTAAACTCATACAAAGTGTTCACTGCTGCTGCCACTACTGCCACCACCTCCACTACTTGCCACTATATACAACAAAAACAAACAAAAAAAATACAAAATCCTTTGATGTTTATTGTGTAAAGTACAGTTTGAAGGTTTTAAAAGTATATATGTGAGTGTGTGTGTGTGTGTGAAAGAGTTAGCGAATGAGTGTTTTTAATGTATTTGTGTAAATGCACATACCAACACACACTCATATCTATAAACGTTCGAAAAAGGCGTGTGCGACCTTGACCTTATTCATTTACATTTTTTTGTTGTTTTCCTTCTTCTATTTCTCTTTTAATCTAAAATGTATGTTTGTATGCAAGCATACATATGTATATGTATATGTTTATGTATATATGCATGTTTAATGCTCTGCAACATTGTCCTGTTTAATTCTTTACATTTCCAGTTACATTTACTGTTATCCTATAGTTATTGTTGTTTTTGATATTTTACATTAGTTTTAATACTCTTGCACTCAAAATCTCTATCATTAAATATACAAAAGCATGCATGTGCATGTTTATTTGTTTTTACAAACTATGTAGTTTAACAGTTTACTGTTTAATGAATCAATATTACAATGTTGAAAGCTTAAAATGTACTTACAGTTGTAGGCATTTCTTATGTAAATTAACATTTATACACAAAATCCCTTTGATGTTAAACAATACTTACTTCTTTCAATCGCATCTTTAGACAAACATACACATACAGTGTCTCTCATAAGTATTCGAATTTAGGTAAACTATGAAAAAAAACCAAATTTAATAATATATTTTGTGTGGAAAATAAATAAATTAATTTGTTATATTGTCTAGATAGTCCTTAGTTTTGATATCACGCCCCTTTAAACTTGAAAACTTTACATTTACTTAATTAGTTGTGCTTTTTTCAAAAAAAGTCCATGAAACTACTTCACAAAAGTATGCGAATTTTTCCTGTATTTCATATTTGATCATATTATACGATACACAAATTCTAGAATCGCATGGTTTTATGCTTAATATTGTTTTAAGGGGTAACTATCAACCGCATGGATATATTTTTGACCCATTTGGTCCACAATTTAGGGGGATTTGTACCCACTTTTCATGTAATATCATTAAAATGGCGATTTTTGGCTATATTTGTAATGTTTTCACCCTTTTTCCAGAGATAAAATCAAAATTTAATATTGGAATTTAATAGAACCCATAGGGTATCTAAAAATAATATTTTTTTGTTATAAGGATCTGTACTTAAACGTTCCAAGATGTATTTTTGGTATCGTTTTTCAGTTTCTAATTGAATTATGTGGATCATAAATCCCTTTTCGTACCTCTAGGGACGATATTTTCCTACAAAGTTGTCTAGTGTATATTCATGTACATATTGGCACTAATATATTTTAAATTTTCAATATATTATAGCGGTATACAACCCCAAAACATGCCTTAATAAAACGTCATCCTATATAGTAGATTTCAGTTTTTACTACTCGTAACTTTCACGCTTATGTTGCCCGTTACAATAACACTGTAAGTCCAAAATTTTGGTTTTAATTTGATCATAGTAAATAATATTTAAACTCATATCAACATTTTTGAGTTAGATCATAATGATATCGTGCCATGCAGCATGGAGGCCATTGGTATATAAAAATAATGATTTTACTATTTTGAATGGTGTTTCTTCGAGGCATGTTTTGGAGTTGTACACTTCCACAGTACATTGAAAACTTAAAATGTATAAAAGCTGATATCTAAAAGAATATATACCAGAAAACTTTCCCCGAAAATAGTTGATCCTAGTATTATAAAATGCACTTAAGTTCCAATATATTGAATTAGCGACAGAAGAATGATCCGAATAATTTATCTTGGAACGTTTAAATACAGATTCTTGTAACAAAAAGTATTATTTTTAGATACCCCAAGGGGTCTTATAAGTGCCAATATCAAATTTTTGTTTTATCTCTGGAAATAAGGAGAAAAATTTACAATTATGGCCAAAAATCGTCATTTTAATGATATTACTTGAAAAAAGGTACAAATTCTCCAAAATTGTGGACCAAATGGGCCAAAAATATATCCTTTCCGTGGATAGTAACCCCTTAAAACAACATTACGCATAAAAACCATTCGATTCTAAAATTTGTGTTGCGTATAATATGATCAAATATGAAATACAGGAAAAATTCGTATACTTTTGAGAGGCAATTTCATGGACTTTTTTTAAAAAATCCACAATTAATTTAAGTCAATGCAAATTTTTCAAGTTTTAAAAAGCGTGATATCAAACATAAGGACTATCTAGACAATATAACAAATTAATTTATTTATTTTACACACAAAATATATTATTAAATTTGGTTTCTTTTTATAGTTTACCCAAATTCGAATAATTATGAGAGACACTGTACATTTGTATACTTACATATGTATGTATGTATATGTACGTACATGTAGTTATAAAAATAATAATTGTTTAGAAATGCGAGGGTTCTTTTTAAAATTTTGTTAAAATGAATCTAGACCTTCAGAAGATCTGCCGACTCAAAAGTCGATTATTACACTTTAATGTGGGTGTAGGATCAATACTTTTGGATGTTACAGACTTCAGCACAAACGCATAATATCCTCCCCACTATAGTATTGTCATTCTGTTCCATTAATTCCGATGTATATAAGCAATTTATTGATAAAAAACTAATTATCTAAAATAGGCTTTAATGGGAGTTTTAGGGTCGAATGGGCCGATCCTCATAAAATTTCGAGGAGGGATGTATTATTTTATAAATGTTTGTTGACATTTTTTAAAAGGTGATTTGTATGGGGGCTAGGATCAAATAAGAGTAGAAAGTGTAATTTATATGCTTATAAAAACCTTAGTTGTGTTGATTTTTTGAGAGATGGTAGTATATTTGAATCGGAAGGTTCGGTTGTATGGGGCCGATTTCAATCATGTTCAATACGCTTCGTAATTGTGCGTATGGTCCAAATTTTATCAAAATATCTTTAGAATTGTAGCCTATACCTTGCACGCATGGTTTAAATGGAAAGCCAGCCGAACGGTCATGTCTTAATCCACTCAGAAAGTGATTCTGTCCTAATCAAGATTAATATTAATAAATCTTGATGCATTTCTGCTTAATTTGCTCTACGGCTTAAACAGTCGAATGGACTGAAGCATGGTCCCATTGGTCATAGCACCATCCTACAACAGATAGACAGGCCAATTATGGGGCAGAAAACGGACTCCATGCTATAAACACTGAATTTTAATAGGTCATTCAAGACCAGAATACCGATAAGAGATAATTGGTCCGGGAACACTGTCCAAAGAAATGACGTGATCTCAATCTACATTGATGGTCCAAAGACAGAAAGAATACGGACTCGGGAATCTTCTCCAAAAAACTGAATATCTGTTGTCTTTTCGACTACCTGACATCTACATGGTCTTTCTGGCAGATATATCGATACAGCCGCGAGAAGAATCCCGGAACTGAATCTAATTGGACAGCCTTGCATCAATCAAGACTCTATCGAAATTGATAGATGACTGGGCTTTGAGTGAGATGGAACTCAGGTGGTCAAATATCACCACTTGTAGAATATCAAAACTGCACTCTTATAACGGATAGACTATTAGTAAGAACTCGATTAGGCTTCTCAGAGGTATAATTAATGGACACTATATGATTGGACACATGTCGGAACTAATGGGCTACCCACGTTATAGCTAATGTAGAAGCTGTTTGGACGAGGAAAAAGAGGAATCGGTACAACAGCTTCTATGTGATTGCCCAGCCTTACTACTTACTACTCTATATTGGAAGAGCTCTTTTCCATAATCTGGACTATCTCAGAGATGCGTCACTAGTAAACATGGTTTTCACTGGGTCAGCAAGAACCAAGTAGTCAACGATATTAGGGAGGAAAACCATTCTCCTTTAAGTACAAACTCCCAGTATAAGCAATTCCAAGACTATCACAGTTGGCCACAAGGCCTCCAAGTGAACTCGCTAACTAGCGAGCAACCCACGTAACCTCACCTAATGTTATGTAATTATACATGTAGTATATCGAACGTAATGTCCCATCCTGTTTTATTCACCCCAGCAAAACCAGTACGCATTCATTCACAATAGATGGTTTGGTTGAGGACAATTGTGAATTGTTCATAAAATTGTTTGTTTCTCACGATAAAAAGTTAAACGAATGAATAAAAAGGGTAACATATTTCAAGAGTATATTAATTATCCTACAGCCCTCGTATATTAATGAGACTTTCACAGAAGTATGTCGTATATTTGTTCTCTAGCAACAACAATCATTCGCATATTCATCGTTTTCACAAAAGTGTAGTATAAAAAATTCTATTTTTTCTTCTTCTAAGTTTTTTGCACGCATCGCCTCAGGAAAATTTTCAGCTGCTACTTTTTACTGATGTAATTAGTATGTTGTTGCGTAAGTGGGGGAAAAGGATCTAGGTTCTAGGGAGGCGAATATGAGGAAAAAAATACAAACAATACTTTTATTTTGCATGGCAAATCTTTTAAAAATTAGAAAAATAAGCGTTTTATAAAATGTATAAATGTGTAGGAATATGTAAAAGCCAATTAGTTTTGTGTCCCTTTGACAAAAAAGGAATAATCTTAGATTGCTAAAGTTGAAAGAAATTAAGTTATTTTTTTTTTTTTTTTTTTGTAATCTATAAACTATTTATGTATGTATATAAAATGACGAGCAAACCAGAGCTTTGGTCTATAAAAGAATTTTACACAGAATTTCTAACATGATTTAATACATTTAAATCCCTGTTGGCCTTAAAATAACTAATTTTAATTTGTCTGTGCTCTAATTTTTTTTTAGTTTCATTGAAAATAGCGAAAAACTTTTGAACAAATAGAAGGCTTTGAAATTTCACAAATTGTTGAAAAATAATTTAAATTATTTCCAAATAAAAAAAAGTTGCAAAAAAAGACAGAAGTGGAAAGAAAAACAAAGTTGTTTTTGAATTTTATTATAAAAAATTGTTGAATGTGCCTGAAAATAGTGAAAAAAAAACCCACAAAATTAACCATGGTACGCAGTATATTTTCCCAGCGTTATAATTATGCTAAAATACGAGCAAATGAAGCATTGGATGGTGAGTAAAAATGTTAATGAAGTTTTCTTTGGTTGCTGTAGAAATAAACATATGGTTTTTTTCCTCTAGATGTTTTTCGCCGCATAGCAATATTTCCCAAAATAACCAAACTGCCACGTTTGAAGCGCACTTACTACATAGCTACACCCAAGCCCATGAATGAGAAAAAGAAAACGAAAAGCAAAATTAAGGAGAAAAAGTTATTGAGGTCTTCGGAATGGTAAGTTAGAGGTTAGAGGCCAAAAAAAACAGTCAATCAAATTTTATTTCAATTCTGTTAGGTATGACAGTGATTCAATACCCATGATTACCAGACTAGAAATGGAAATGATATTGGATATGCCGCTAATGGAACGTCATACGGGAGAAAATTCCAAAGGTACTTTTAGTCATGTCTATTGGAAAACCAGCGAAGAGGAGAATATAGAAAGTGAAGCTAAAACAAAATTAGATAATGATGACAAAAATACTAAGGAAGCAACCAGTGCTGAAACAAAGCCCATAAATAATGAGTTAAATATTGAAAAAAATTTAAACGAAATTCCCCAAAATTCTACACAAATTCCCATTAAATTTGCCATGACACCACAACCCGTAATTTTAACTGCCACCTCTACAGCTGTAACGCATGCTCCATCTACTTCTGCCAACAACAACAAAGAACTAGCCGATTTTGAATTTGTAGTACCCGAACTTAATAAACGAAGACGTGGCAAACATTTGGAGAAAAGCTATGAGTGTGAACAGTGTCACAAAAAATTCGATCGTCCCTGGGTTTTACACGGTCACATGCGTTTACATACGGGAGAAAAACCTTTTGTTTGTCCCATACAAACTTGTCAAAAGAAATTTGCCGATAGGTATAGACTATAGCCTTTTATCTTAGTTTTATCTCGGTTTTACTTAACACTATTTGTTTTTTTATTTAGATCTAATTTAAGAGCTCATCAACGCACTAAAGGTCATCATAATTGGAATTATCAGTGTCCTCAGTGTACAAAAGCTTTTAGCCAGGAAAACTACTTGAGTCGCCATAGTTTGGAGGCTTGTCGTAAATTTTTAGCTGCTCATAAAAATGTTTAAATACATGTTATATCTACTGTTGTGGTTGCAAAATTTTTACTTTTTTTTTTTTTTGTCTTAATTTATTTTACTTTCAATAAAAATTTCTTGTTTTTTCTATAGAAATTTATATTAATATTTTTTTTATTTAATATTTAAAGAATTATATTAAGAGTTCACTAATTTTAAAAATATTTACATATATTCTTTGTCACCCGTCTTCCAATGAATTTTGAAAAAAAATTATATTTTTTTGGAGAAAATAGCTCTTTCAACTCCTTTGGACAATTTTGCTAAGAGAAATAAGTTTAAAGTTACACTCATTTGAATAAAACCCTGTACGACTAAAATGTCCAACTTTGACCCCCTATAAGTCCGGCAGTTCGTGACCAACATTACTAACCTTGGTGCAATTTTTTTAGTTTGGTCACTTTACACGAAATTGCCCATATGTATTTTAGCAATTTCCTGATGAAAAACTGATTTTCCGAAAGTGGCTTTATATGGAGACTAGGGCCGATTCTCATCAAATTGCGAGAAAGGCTTTATATTTATGTATATGGTCAATTTCATGTCAAGTGACCCAACTCAAAAAATGGATTTTGATGAAATTTGCACCAAGGTCAGTACTATTGGATAGTAGGCCAGAGCTCTATCGGTCAAGAACTGCCGGAGTTAGAGGGGGTCAAAGTTGGACATTTTCGTTAAAACACAAGGTTTACATGGACGAGCATCGCTAACTAGATTCAGAAAATGATTCTAAGCCGATTAGTTTACTTTTTGGTGAATTTAGTACCACGTTACATATGGGCATATGTATGTGACATTCGCACGCCTTCAGAGTGGTATAGATTTTGTAAAATTAGGAGTACTTGGAAAACAATTTTGTCATTCTGTTCCATTTAAAGAATACTATATTTGCAAAAGGAATCATCTTAATCGGAACCTTGTTTTCCAAAATATGGATTTAAATATGGCGATATCATACGTGACAAAAAACGGAAGTCTTTTTTGTTTTAATTTCTTACACTATGGGACATAGTGTAAGACATTAGTAATCCATAATTTTTAAATAAAAAAAATTAATATAATTTTATAATGAACATTTTTAAATATCGTATGTGACAGATTTTTCTCCTGATATTTTTTTTAGATTATAAAATATATATTTTGGAAATATATACATACACACACTTCAACAAAGCAAAAGGAGTAGGAAAGTGCAGTCGGATAGGATAGTATTATAATTAACAGAATTATGAGCTAAAAAGTGATATTTTCGGGTCCGTTTGTTTGGCGGCAAGTCTTTGTCTTTGGTGCTACAAAAGATCATATACCAAATTTTGTTGAATTATCTTCAAAAATGCGGAAGTTATAAGGGTTTTATTTTTTCAGTCGTGGTTTACCTTTTCATGGAATTGCCCATATGTATGTATGTATAACCAGCACAAACCCAAAATAGACTCCCTCCACTAAAGTAGAAATGACATACCGCCCACGTGTTATGTGTATATAAGATATATGTCAATAAGGACTAATACTTACAACCTTTAGTACTATGATTTGCAAATGTTTATATTACAGTTTCTAAGAAGAAAAAATTTTCTGCAAATTCCTGGGATTTTATGTTGGAAAATTTAGTTGGGAAGTTTTAAAAATATAAGGATATTTTAGGGAATGTTGTACTGTTGATTAATATTTAAAGAATGAATACATCATATTCGTATACAGAATATTGTATACGTATATGTTATATATTAAAGTTAAATTCAAAAGGTACTCTTTGAAAAAGGAAAAAGTACCTAAAAGTCCCATTTTATAGATTCTCATTTACACCGGCCTCTAAATGCTTAATATTATGTTTCTAGATTTAATTCAAAAAGTACCTTTTGAAGAACGAAAAAGTACCGAAAAGTCCCCTTTTATAGGCTTTCACTTACTCCGACCACTACATGCTTAATTTCATGTTCTATATTTACCCCCTTATTCACAAACAAAATTTTTATTTTATAAACAGTTTATAAATAAGATTTTGTATGGAAATTTAGTTTTATTAACCTTTTATAAAATAAAAATGTTGTTTGTGAATAAGGGGGTTAATATTATGGAAATTTCAAAAAGTACTTATGAAGAACAAAAAATTGCCAAAAAGTCCCATTTTATAGGCTCTCATTTAGGCGTCATGAAATAACTTTATCCTCTGGGGAACATTGGACACCGGCTTCGCTAAAAAGCGTTCATCCCGACGAAATCTCTGATAGAATTGTTGAAGTTTTAGAAGTCGGACATGACTAATTCGACTCCGCTATCTATAGGAATCCAGTCGGAAAATTGTATTTTATATAAATACATAAATGTTTCAACAATTGCTAGAAAATGTAAAAAAATGTATTAAAATTACCTTAAAATATTTTGATTTTTTAAATATTTCACCAAACTTTTTGAAAAAACACTTGACATAAAAACGAAATTTTTGGTGCCGATAATTTCTAAAAACAGTACTAAAAGCACTAAGTTGACAATGCTTTTATTTTATTAAAAAACAGGCCATAGTTGGAGCTTTTACTTTGCATAACACTTATTTACTCTTTTCATGCTCTCTTTTCAATTACCACCCACCGCGTAATACATTTACACACATACTTTCTTATTAGCTATTTGGTTACAACAAAACACCTTTTCACAAAAAAAAACCGCAACAAAAGAGAATTTGCGAACAATAGATACACATTTTTTCCTTCACGACTGCGCTGCCGACAGCACATTTTTTCTTAACAAATTTTCTATTAAATATCGCGATTTATTAACCAAATTTAACATTTTCTTAAATAACTTTTTATGATCTACATTTCTAACCGATTTATATAATAATTTAAAAACTTTTCTATTTGTTTTTTATTACGACACTACGACAAACGTTTTGTTATTAAGGCATCACACTAGGAACTGATTAACAAAACGAGAAACGGAAAGGAATAGTTTAGTGGAGTAACGCAAAAAAAAAACAGAAAGAGACAGATTATATGCGCAAAAAGCTTAGCAGCAGGCTTATTACAATAATTGCAATACATAGTTAGTGCGCATGTCCAAAATTATGTTGCTTTTATCTGAGAGTGGAAAAGAAAGTAATTGCAGTAGTTTTAGTAAATTAAAACTAAAACAATAATAGTACTTTTTAGGTTTTAAAGTACATACATACTAAATTAATTTTCCATTCTATAGACTATAACTAGACTATAGACTAGACTATATACCGAGTAGTTTTTCCTAATTTTTACGTTCATTTGAAAAAATTTAAAAAATAGTTACATATATTTTTAAATTAATAAAAATATAATAATATCCTAAAAATATGCTAATGTTATTGAAAAAAAATAAAGCGTTACCATATTATTTTTAAAATTTATCTGTTAAATTAAAACAGTTCATTTATTTTACATTTCTTTTAAGTAAAATTCATTTACAAACACTGCTGGCAACAGTGTTACCAGAAAAATTTTGACTTATGTCCCCAATCTTAGGCTGGAAGTCCCCAAAAAATCCCCATTTTTAAATTGAAATCTACATAGTTATCCCCAAAAATATCATTATTAAATACTAGGATTCTATAAATCGACTTTCGAATAATCGAACAATCGACTTTTTGTCGAAAAAAGTCGAAAAGTCGAAGTCGACTATTTTGTTCCAAAAAAGTCGATAACTCGACTATGGTCTGTGAAAAAAAGTCGAAAAGACGACTTTGTTAATAAAAGTCGAAAAAAGTCGAAAAGTCTGAAAGTCGAAAAAAGTCGATAAGTTGAAAAAAGTCGAAGAAAGTCGAAAAAAGTCGAAAAGTCGTAAAAGGTCGAAAAGTCGGAAAAAGTCGAAAAAAGTCGGAAAAAGTCGAAAATTATAGAAACAAGTCAAAAATAGTCGAAAATCTTAAAAAAGTGGAAAAAAAAGTCAATAACTCTAAAATAGTCGGAAAAACTCGAAAAAAGTCAAAAAATAGTCGAAAGAAGTCGAAAATAGTCAAAAAGTCGAAAAAATCGAAAAGTCGGAAAAAGTCGAAAAGTCGACTATTTATAAAATACCTATAGTCGAAAAGTCTAAAAGTCGACTTTTAATTAAATGAAAAAAGTTGAAAAATCGACTTTTCATAAAATGCAAAAAGTCGAGAAGTCGAAAAGTCGACTTTTAACTAAATAAAAAAAGTCGAAAAGTCGACTTTTCGTTGCAACTATAGAACCCTATTAAATACGTTTCGAGATATTTATTCACGGTTGTTAGATCTTACAACGTTGGCAGTAAAATATGCAGAATTATATAATTAATATACATGATATTTGTATATCGTGCCTAAGGAGTGTTGCCAGAAAAATTTTGACTTTATATAAAATATGTATTGGAAATAATATATTTAAAGGTCATAATTTACAATCTTTCTTTTGTTTAATTTGTATGAAAATACTGTTGATTATTTCACTAAAATAAAATATTCTTGAAATCCCCTAATGATCCCATTCTTTATATGTGATAGTTGAGACTAATTTTAGTGTTAGTATTAGAAAAATCGAAGATAGCTTTTTTTGAGATATACTTGACTAATATATGTTTTTGAATTTGTTATCCTTATTTAAAAACAATACTATTTTTTTTCTAAAAAATCGTCAAGCTAAAACTTATAACCATTAATTTAAGACCAAAATTAATAAAATCGATCGAAATCAATTTATTTAGAAATTATACGACCCATATACAAAAACTAGAATTAATGTAATTGTTAAAAAATAAAAAAATAGCGGAAAAATTATAAAAAAAATCTCCAAATTTTTTAAAAATACCCAAATCCCTGCCACAAAAATGTATCCCCATATAAAACATGAAATCCTAATTTGGGAAAAAAATCCCCACATCTGGCGACACTGGCTGGCAATGCTTTTAATCACTAAGCAGCGAGCTTTCAAGCTATTCGTTACTTTTGTTTGACAGCCCAACAGACAAAAAACCAGCTGTCATCGTTGAACGAATTGAAAACGAAACGAAAGCAATAAAAAGAA